GCCGATGCGGATGACAAGGCAATCAATTGGCACAAGTCCTCTCTTCAATTTATTGGTGGTGAAGCCGATGCGGATGAAAAGGCAATCAATTGGCACAAGTCCTCTCCATGTTATTGGTGGTGAAGTCGATGCGGATGACAAAGACTATTATTTGGCACCAGACCTTTCTCTATTGGCATGAGCTCTCTTCAATTTATTGGTGGTGAAGCCAATGCGGATGACAAAGACTATTATTTGGCACAAGTCCTTTCTCGATCGGCAAGAGCTCTCTTCACTATTGGTGGTGAAGCCGACGTGGATGACAAGGCTATCGATTGGCACAAGTCGTCTCTTCAATTTGTTGGTGGTGGCGCCGATGCGGATCACAAGTTTATCATTTGGAACAAGTCCTTTCTCGATTGGCAAGAGCTCTCTTTTCTTTTTATTGGTGGTGAATCCGATGCTGGCGACAAGGTTACCATTTTGGCACAAATTCTCTCTATTGGCAAGAGCTTTGTATACTTTCTTTTGGTGGTGGAGCCAATGCGGATGACAAAGACTATCGCCGATGGCATGAGTTCTCCCTTTTGAAGCTATTCATGGGACAATCTCTTTATGGGTGCAAGTCGCATGAGCACAAATTGGCGGCAATCAGTCTTACCAAGGAGCACTACACAAAGCAACCAAACGGATGCAATGAGAGGCACGGCTATGGATGAGGCATGGCAGCTGGAGGAGCTCTATACTGGGAGCAATCATCACAAGCATCAAGCAATTGTCACAACTATCAAGTTACAGTATGGAGCCACCGCCATGTCAGGAACGCAATCATATGAAAGCACACGCAAGTCAACACCACCAGTGTAATTCTGTTATACAACAAAACCGAAGACAAAATGGTATGTGAGTGATCAAGTAGTATACATCCACGGAACTAACCAGCCTTTGTTTCATAGGGAAAAGGATCAGAAAAGCATATCAAAAAAGGATGAGAAAAGGGATCAGAAAAGCATATAAAAAAAAAGGATCAAAAGAAGGATCAGGAAAGCAGATCAAAAGAAGAATCAGAAAAGAGATTCAGAAAAGAGATTCAGAAAAGAAGAATCAGAAAAGAATCAGAAACGAGAATCAGAGAAGAGAATCAGAAAAGAGAATCAGAATCAGAAAAGCAGATCAAAAGAAGAATCAGAAAAGTATATCAAAAAGAGAATCAGAATCAGAAAAGCAGATCAAAAG